GATGATCGCGCCCCTCCCTTGCTCCTTGGCGACCCTAAGCGTCGTAAGGTCGACAAGGGTAAAGAGAAGGTGGACGAGGGGAACATTGTCCCCAAGCGAACAGAATCATCCGTTACCTACAAGGACGCGTTGGTCAAGATGCCGTCCCGACTCTGGAATCATCCGGAGCCATATAAGGTGGCGGAGTACCTTTACTCCGTGCTCCCCGAGGCCGACAAGGCTCGGGTCGAGGGTACCGAGTATGAGCGCTCTTGCTATGCTACCCAATGCTTGGTTAGGGTATGTGCTTTGTTCTCACGCATTTGTCTTGCGTATTTCTTTTCGCATTTCCTTATTAGTTAGTTTTTTTTTTTGTGTAGTTTTTGGCGGCTGCTCTCCCTGGCCTCAAGGCCGGCACTCGACCCCCCACTCCCTCCGGTCATGCCCTCGAGGAGAAATATGAGGCACAGCTCAGGGAGAATGCCCAGCTAAAGAAAGAGCTGGAGGATTCTAGGGCCCTGGTTGAGAAGTTGAGAGCCGACAAGGCCTTTGCCATACACGAGAAAGAGAAGCTTCAGGCCGACCTTGAGAAGGCTCAGGAGGCGAATATGTACGAAGTGGACATCGGCATTGTTCAGGGCCGGAAGTCATTCTTGAGGACTGGCATAGGAGCTGCCTTTGTCCGTGAGTATCGTAAGGAAGTCGTCAAGGCTTTCTGCAACTCTCCTTCCTCGACAAGCTCAGCCCCGCCGCTGTTCAATATTTTAACTACGCCTTCGATGCTTGGGAGGCTGTGGTGGCGGGGTCTGAGTTTGCCGGGAAACTCGACCGGGAGGCCCTGAAGCTCACTCTTCCCGACCCCGACGGTTATGAGGGTGATCCGTCCCTTCCGGACGACTACCCCTGGTGGACGGGTCTCGAGGCGAAGGTTGTTCGAGAGGCTAAGCTCACCTATCAATTAGATGCTCCTCTGCCTTCTCCCGTCCATCCCATCGGGCCTGATGGTGATGATCAGGCCGTGACCGTCCTCGAGGAAAGCGACGAGGATATCATAACTTAGTTGTTCTTTCAAGGCTTATTGCCTTCTATTTATCGTTTATTTTTATTCCGATCAACCTAGTTTTCTATTTTGTAAAGGTTGAGACGATTCTTGTAATGAATCTTTTCTTTAAAGATTACTCCTTGTTTTATCTTTGCCCTAAATCTTTATGTTCCTGCAACGTTGCTGTTCATGTATTCTTCGCGATTGTAGGTTTATCGATCTCTTTTGGTCACACATTTTGTGGTTAGCGCTTTTGTAGCCGTAGACGGGTTATATGAGACTCATTGTTTGGGCCGACTCTCATAGTCGCAGGCTTTTTAGCCTTGCCGAGATTTCGCTCGAGGCATGCAACTTTTGTTGCTTGAGTCGACTTTTATAGTCGGGTTTTTTAACCTTGCCGAGATTTCACTCGAGGCATGCAACTTTTGCTGCTTGAGTCGACTTTTATAGTCGTGGGCTTTTCAGCCTTGCCGAGATTTCACTCGAGGCATGCAACTTTTGTTGCTTGAGTCGACTTTTATAGTCGTGGGCTTTTTAGCCTTGCCGAGATTTCACTCGAGGCATGCAAGTTTTGTTGCTTGAGTCGACTTTTATAGTCGTCATGATTAGTCGGCGATATAGTCGTTTCGGAAAATTCAGTTTATCCAACAATTATGTAAGAAAACAAATAAATATATAGACATCTTTGAAGAGTATATTCAAAATCCATTTTATTACTGAGTATGATTTGATCGTGGTTCAGTACAAAAGGCAAATTTGAGAATCATTACTTAAGCATAAAAACGTTTGAGATGGGTAACATGCCAAGATCGCGGCAGCTGTCGCCCTCCTATATCTTCAAGTTCATATGCGCCTCTCTCGAGCACCTTGGTGACTGTGTATGGCCCTTCCCAGTTTGCTTCTAGCTTTCCGAAATGCTTCAGGGCATCGGCTCGCTTGAGGACAAGATCTCCTACTTGAAAACGTCTGGTGCGGACTTTCCTGTCAAAGGCTGCACGCATCTTTTGTTTGTATTCCACAGATCGTAACCAAGCCTCCTCGCGTATTTCCTCTATCATGTCGAGGGCTTCTTCCCTTAACTTGTCGTTGCTTTCTTCTTCGTAGAACATTGACCTGTGCGAATCCAAACCGACCTCAATAGGTAATAAAGCGTCCATCCCATACACCATATGAAAAAGTGATTGCCCTGTCGAACTCCTCGGGGTCGTCCTATAGGACCATAAGACGCTTGCTAGCTCATCGACCCACGCGCCAGATGCTTTTTCCAGTCTCTTCTTCAATCCCTGTAGGATGGTTCTGTTTGTCACTTCAACTTGTCCGTTCGCTTGCGGGTGCGCGACGGAAGCGAACCGCTGCTTAATCCCCATGTCGAGGCACCATGTTTGGATCCGTTTTCCTTGGAATTGCGTTTCGTTATCTGAAATTAAGACCTTTGGTATCCCGAATCGACAGCAGATATTTTTGAACAAGAACTGTATCATCTTGTCTTCGGTAATCTTGGCCAGAGGTTCCGCCTCCACCCATTTGCTGAAGTAGTCGACAGCGACTACCATGAACTTCCTTTGACCTGTCCCCATCGGCAGTGGTCCTACCAAGTCGATTCCCCATTGTGCGAAGGGGATTGGACAATTGATGGTTGTCATTGCTTCGGCTGGGATATGGGGGATCTGACCATGGCGTTGACATCGGTCGCATCCTTGTACCAGCTGTTCGGCCGCTTTCCGTATTCTAGGCCAGTAATAGCCCGCTCGAAGAGCTTTGCCTGCTAGAGCTCGCGATCCTACATGCGACCCGCAACATCCTTCGTGGATCTCTCTTAAGACTTGATCCCCTTCTTCTTCAGAAACACATCGCAGGTGGGGCCCAACCATTGATTTCTTATACAAGACTCCTTCGATTTCAAAGTATTTACTCAAATATCGGGTTGTCTTCTCTGCCTCCTGTTTGTCTCCCTCCTGTACTCGACCTTGCAATAGTTCACGAATTGCTTTTCTCCAATCCTGCTTCTCCTCGACCTCCATTGTTTCCTTTAGAGCGCTCCCTTCCAAATGCAAGGTGGCGATTTGATTTCCTATCTTTCCTTCATTTGAACTTGCAATCCTTGCGAGCCAATCGGCTCGCTTGTTTTCTTCTCGAGGTACTTGTGTTAGTTCGAATTTTGCCAAATTTTGTACCAAACTCTGTATCTCTTCGACATATTTTAACATTCGATCCTCCTTAATTTCGCATTTACCCAGTACTTGCCCAACGACAAGCTGTGAGTCGGAATGTGCCACGATCTCCGTTGCCCTACCTCCGATCGCCAGTTGAATCCCCTTGATCAAGGCTTCATATTCTGCTTCGTTATTCGAGGCTTTAAATCCCATTCTGATGGCGATTTCGAGTTGCTCACCTTCGGGGGATACTAGGACGACTCCAATACCAGATCCCTTGGCTGACGAGGATCCGTCGACGTGCATTATCCATTTCTTGCTTTCTCCTTTGGTCCCCTCTTGGATAAAGTCGGCTAGAGCTTGGGCCTTTATAGCCCGTCGAGGTTCGTATTTGATGAAAATTCGCTAAGTTCGACTGCCCACTTTACGAGTCGACCTGACATGGTAGGTCGACCCAATGTCTCACCCAGCTGGAAATTTGTCCTTACTATTATCACATGGTTTAGGAAGTATGGCCTCAATTTTCTGGCTGTGAGCACCAACGTTAATGCGGCCTTCTCAACCTCAGGATATATCGTCTCTGCGCCCTGGAGCACTCGACTTGTATAATAGATCTGTTGTTGGGCCCCTTCAGCTTCTCGCAGCAACACAGAACTCAAAGAAAAGATTCCCACCGAGATATAGAGTACCAACTCGTCGCCCGGTTCCGGCTTTGTCAACAATGGTAGTTCGCTCAAAAACTCCTTCAATTTTTCAAACGCCATCTGAGCTTCGTCGCCCCACTGGAGAGCTTTTTTCTTGAGTAACTTGAAGAAAGGGAAGCTTCTTTCCGCCGCCCGAGCTATGAATCGACTTAGGCCTGCAATTCGACCTGTCAAGAATTGTACTTCTCTAACATTCTTTGGTGGGGTCATGTCGAGTATGGCTTGTACTTTATCCTTGTTCACTTCAATGCCTCTTTCAGTTACGATATAGCCCAGGAATCGCCCTGCCCTCACTCCGAAAGCACATTTGCTCGGATTCAATTTCATTCCAAATGTTCTTAGTATCGTAAACGCTTCCCTCAAGTCTTCCACATGCGAGATCGAGGACCTACTTTTCACCAAGATATCGTCCACGTAAACTTCCATATTCCGCCCGATCTGTGATTTGAACATTCGATCCATCAACCTTTGGTATGTTGCCCCTGCGTTCTTGAGTCCGAAAGGCATAACGACATAACAATACGTCCCTCTGCTCGTCACGAAGCTAACTTTGCTTTGATCCTCAGGAGCCAAAGGAATTTGGTGGTACCCCTGGGACGCGTCCATCATGCTTAACAGCTGACAACCAGCAGTAGAGTCGACCAGCTGGTCAATTCTCGGCAGGGGGTAGTGATCCTTCGGGCATGCTGAATTTAAATCGCGAAAGTCGATACACATACGCCATTTATTTAGCGCCTTCCTTACCATCACCGTGTTCGATATCCATTCTGGGAATTGAATTTCTTTGATATGTTTGGCTTTCAACAACTTGTCCACCTCGACTTCTATGGCTTTGTCGATTTCTGCGCCATGGTGTCTAAGCCGTTGCTTTACGGGATTTTTCAGGGGGTCGACATTAAGCTTATGCTCCATGAAATCGGGATCGATTCCTGTTAGCTCTTCAGGAGAGAAAGCGAATATGTCCCTGAATTCTTTCAGCAGCCCTACCAACTGTCAACGTAACTCTTCCTCCAGTTCTCGTTCTATTTTGGTAGTCTGCTCTTCTTTCTCCCCGATTTGAATTTCCATCAATTCCCCATGTGGCTCAAGGTCGCTTTCCCTTCGTCTTTTCTCAGTTGATACCGACTTTTTTCTTTCATTCACCTCCGTCCGTTGATTTGTCCTTACTGCAATTTGATAACAAGTTCTCGACAGCCTCTGGTCGCCTCGGGCCTCCCCTACCTTATCTCCGACAGGGAACTTTAGCTTCATATGATAGGTTGACAACACTGCTTGGAATGCATTGAGGGCTGGCCTTCCCAAAATCACATTATAAGCCGACTCGACGTCGACCACGACAAATCGCACCATTTTCACCTTCCTTAAGTCGCCTTCCCCGAGGACGACAGCGAGGGTGGCTTCCCCCAGGGGGGCGACTTCCGAGCCGTTAAATCCAAAAAGTGAAGTGTGGAGAGGTGAGAGTTCAATGTCGAGTTCCATGCGCTTAAGGCAATCGAAAAAAATCACATTCACTGAGCTCCCCGTATCGACAAAGATCTCTGGACTTCGTAGCCCGATATCTGGGCTGTGATCATCAAGGCATCGTTATGAGGTCTCTCAACTGCTCCTACGTCGGCTGGTCCAAAATTCATCACTGGACCATCCTCTTCGACCTGCTGCACTTCGGTTTTTCCATGATGCCCTCGAGCATATGCTTTTCTAGCCCGGTTTGAATCGCCATCAGTTGGCCCTCCAAATATCATATGAATTACTCCTCTTTTTTGGGGAAGCTCTTCCTTATCGGGTGTTCTTTCCCTCTTGTGGGGGCTTTTGCTCCTCTCCCTTTGTCGACTGGGTCGCTCTCGATCTTTATAAACGAACTCCTTCAGATGGCCTGCTTTGATTAGTATCTCAATTTCATTTTTCAAGTGCCGACATTCATCGGTGTTATGGCCGTAGTCTTTGTGAAATCGACAGTACAGGTTACTTTTAGGTTTTGTCGGCCCGTCCTTTCTTGTTTGTGGCCACCTGACAACGTTGTCACGGATCTCTCTCTCCATAACCTCCAGTATCCTTGCACGCGAGGCCGACAGAGGAGTATATTGGGCTGTCCTACACCCCCTTGGTCGCCCCTCTCTCTCGGCTCTTGGGGATCCTTTCCTTTCAGTTGTCGCGACAGGCTTTTTGTCCTTCTTCTCGTCCCGAGGCTCAGGTTTTGGCTTAGCCGCTTGCAGAAAGTCGGCTTCGGCTTCCTCGACATTCATGTATTTGGCGCACCTTCCCAATACTTCATCAAACGTCCTCCCGGGCCGCTTTGCTAGGGAATTTCTGCACAATCCCGGGAGTAGCCCTCGAGTGAGTCCTCCCGACTTGATCTCCTCCGTGGCCGAGGGGACGTCGACACATACCCTTGTGTACCTCGCTACGTAGTCTCTCAATGATTCCCCTTCCTTCTGCTGCATTCCTATCAAAGTAAGGTACGACTTTTCTTGGGCTTTCACACTTGCGAATTGGTTTAGGAAACTCGAGCTAAATCCATCGAAATCCCTGATGGCCCCTGGGGTCAATTGATGAAACCAATCCTGCGCAGGCCCTCGCAGGGTCGTCAGGAATGCTCGACACTGAACGGGGTCGTTGTATCGGTGCAATACTGCCATGTTTTCGAAACTTCTAAGATGTCGGGAGGGATCAGTCGACCCGTCATACCAGATATTAAGCTCCCTGAACCCTTGAGGCAAATCGGCATCTAAGATATGTTGTGAAAAAGGGTGTCCCCTCGAGCTTCCCGTTTTTCTTCCTTCCACCCGAGCCTGCAAGTCTCGGACCTGCGCTAACAGTTGCTCCAGCGTGTCTTTTCTGGCTTGTGGGTTAATGGTTCTGACAGAGGACTCCTCTTCGTCTACCCTCCTGTTTTGCCTGTCATGTGACTGCGCCTGTTGCTCACGTTCAGGGGGTCGCTGCTCATTCTGAGGTGGTTCGATCCTAGCTTGCTCGATTCGGGGCTGCTCCACCCTGGGTTGTTAGACTGGCGTTTGTTTGATTTGGGCAGCTACAGCTTCGACAATCATCCTCTGCATCTCGCTTCGCGTTATGTTCAACCTTTGCTCCTCGCCTTGGGGCAGCGGTCTCGGCTCTGGCTCGAGCGGTCCCGGCTGCTTTCCCAGACTTAGGAGCGTATCGGTTGACTCACGACCATTGACTTCTCCACTCGTGCTCCTCACGTGGTTGGTTTTCCCTTGCGTGAGCACTGGGACCTTGACTCCTGGTGGGGTGATAGGCGTTTCTTCCCCCATACGCCCTCCTGACGGCGCGTGTGCCCCAAACGGTGGGAAACCGAATACTTGGAGCGGCGATCTGGGGTTGGGGATCGGCGGAGGTCGTTTGTCGGTCCATGCCGCCCTGAAATCTTCGTTCAAGTTTTTCTGCGGTCCTTCCTTGTCGGCCATCGGAAACAGATCCAAACTAGGTGTAAAGCTCTTACTTCCTTCAAGAACTCCCCACAGATGGCGCAAAAATGATGGGTCTACTCTCAGATCTGGAACGGTCCAAAATGATGGGTCTACTCTCAGATCTGGAACGGTCCAATGGAAAAACGTCCGGATCTGGGATGAACCGGTATGAATGAGCTCAGATCTGGCCTGATGACCTTCGAGTCGTTGCTGAACCGCACGAACACCTGCAAGAACTCAACGCCGGAGGGGTTTCCGGCGTAGAGTTTCCGACGCTCAAGTCAGTATATGAGAGAGATGATGGGAGCTGCTATGAAAGCAGCAGCAGTAATGAAAAGGATATGGAATAAATGGGAGTTAGGATTTTGGGATTACCTCAGTCCTTTATATAGGAGTGCAATATTTACCTAAAGTCCCCAAAGTGCCCCGGCCGACTTAATGGAAATGTCCAGAATACCCCGGTCGGTTCATATTCTGCTTACTTCCTAGTCAGCATCTAGATCCTTCCTTAGCTTCCTTCTTATCCTTAACTCTTCTTCAATATGCTGAGGTGTGTCAAAGCTGTCGAGAACCACGGCCTGCGAGACTCCTTCAGTCAACCTGAGATATTGTGTCGAGTCGACTAGGCTGGAATCATCCGTTAGTGGACCCTAACACGTCTGACCGTTGTCTTGCCAGAGATCGACTTATCCTAGTAGACAGGTGTACGCCGACTCGGTCGAGAGCCGGGATTCTTGCCTGATTATTGTGGAACCTAGCTGGTGAAGTCGACTGCGTCGGAGTCGACTTGATAATTTCGAACCGTGATGGTTATTGAACCGTTTCACGACAGTATGGCTATATCATACTTATATGTTTTAACTTGCACTATTTTGCATCCAAATCAGGCGTGAATGATCCACGTGTCATGGTACACATGTAGGATTAGATCTAGAGAAATCATGATTCTTAAAAAAGTACTTATTTTAGCCAATATAGTACCGCTTTATCTTCTACGTGGTACCTGTTTTCAATCAATTAGTACCAACATTTGGTCAACGAAGATGGATTATTCAATTGAGGTCAACATTTACAATAACTGGTCCCAGACCTAGAATAAGATAGTACCAACTTTCGCTGTGTTAGTACCGGATATCAGATCTTTAGTACCACTTGTAACGAGCACATAAAACACCAAATTTTGGTCTCAAATGATGTTTACATGACAAATAATCACTCACACACTTGTTTGTATGAGATTTACAATGCTTTTAATCAAGTTTAATCGAATTTGTCATGAACTAGACATGGTAGACGTGACAGATTAATAAAATCACGGTTAGTAAAATGGTACCTACTTTTCTAAAAATAGAACCAATAATATTTGTATTCAGTACCTGTTTTTAATCAATTAGTACCTACTTTTGTAAACCAATATGAATTACTTTAATTTTGGTCAATGTTTGTAAAAGTAGTACCACTCCTAGAGTTTGACAACACCCATTAAATGGTAATTTAGTACCTGATATCGCGTCTTCAGTACCAATTCCAACGAACATAATAAAACATCAAATTTCAGTCTTAAATGATGTGTATATTACTCAAAATCACTTATACATTAGTTTCTATGCGTATTTGAATGTGTTAAATTAAGTTTCCTCGACAAGTGGTCATGAACTCAATAGAGCTTTAATTTTGAAATTTTATTTTTAGGTAATTTCCATTTTAAGGAAACAAATTTGTCTTTTAATTTCAATATAAATAAAGATCATCCCTAAATATATCCACAACCGCAACATTCCATATTTATTGCAATAAAATCACGTGGGCGTAACATTCCATATATGAAACTGATAAACATGATATATCACGCATTAAATTGGTTGATATCCTATCATAGTATTTATTCTTTTGCTTTTAAAAAAAATAAATGATGCGTTTAATTTTCAACAATTAAATATTTAAAATTTTAGTCCTTCTTGACGCACGGGGTTTCACAATAAATAATAAAATCTCGCCTTAACGGCCATTTATAATAATAATAATAATAATAATAATAATTTTTTTCTCTCTCTCTCTCTCGGCGATTTCATCCCCTCCGACTGCTCCTCCTATCTATTCCGTTTTGACCTCTTCCGGCGGCGGCGAGGCCGGATCTGCGGCCGCCGCTGGTCGCCCTTCCATTTATTGCTGTCACTTCTCCTCTATTTGCGGCCTCAGTCTCATTTTCCTCTTCCTCGTTCGGTGGTGGTGGGAGGAAAAGCGGCGGTTCCCGGCCTTAACCCGAGTTAGGTTGGTGCTGCTCGGTGTGGTTGGGAACACCGTCTGTTGTTCTTCTTATGGTTGGTGAGGTGGATTGGCGCAGGGTGCGTTTTGGGGGTTAGGGTTCGGGAGGCTCTGAGGTTTTCTCCGGCGAGGTCGTCTGGCTGGGATTATCTCGGTCTGTCTGGACGCCTGGGGATGGAGGTTCAGGGCATTGGCTAGAATTTGGAGCTAAGCAGGGGACCGGCTTCTGCTGTGTGGCCGTCGATCGGGGATGGAGGGTTAATGTGAGTCTGCGGCTGTGGCGGTGGGGCGGCGATGGTGGTGGTTGGGGGAGACTCCGGTGGCTGTTGTGTGTCGTGCGTGGTGGTTGCCGAGGTTGGGGTTCGGGCTGGTAGCGGTTATCCTAACACATCTCTCATTGGGTTGCTTTGGATCTGGTGACTCGGTGTTGGACTAGTGGTGTTAGCCTAGCTCGGGTTGTTCCGGTTGAGGTTGCTTGGCCTGTTCTCGCGGTCAGTGGTTACTGTTCTTTGGGTTGGGTTCGGGGGCGGGGTCCCGCCTCGTGTTAGGCTTTCGACAGTTTCCGGGGTTGGGGCTTGGCCAGGGCCCTTCCTAGAGAAGGTTGTAGCTGGTTCTTCGGTCTAGTCGGTTCTCCGAGAAAGGGTCGTTTAGTTTTGCTTTCTTGTAGTTTCGTTTGTTTGTTCTGTGTGTTTGTTTGTCTTTGGTTCAGAGATGAATACAGGCTAGGCATTGTGCAGTGGCTCTGTTTTTCATTTTCCTTTATTTTCGTTTTGGAGTTCTCTAGGCCGCATCGTGTGTGTCCTCTCAGTTTGCTATTCTTGTCTGTTGTTTTAGGTGTGTTCTTGGTTTGGGTCGCTGACCCCTGTCTCATTACCCTGTTGGGGTCTTAGATTACCCTGTTGGGGCCTTAATTTAGATTACTCTGTTGGGGCCTTAGATTACCCCGTTGGGGTCTTGTAATTTGTTCTTTTTGCACTTCTGTGCTCTGCTATATTACCTCTATCGTTCCGAAAAAAAAAACGGCCATTTATATTGAAATTATATTTTCTTAGTGTTTTAAAATGTTTATAATATAATTTGTCGCGGTTTGGCTCTTATACTACACAACGTAAGTAGAAATTCGTGTTGCATAAGCTATTAGAGAATAAAATTTTGTTTGTTAGAAATATCAAATATTTGCATGTAATAAAATTGGGTTGTTAATTTAAAAAAATATTTTAATACTATTATATGATACTAAATTTTAGAATAAAACAATAGTTGAGTATTATGCTTAATAAAATGAGGGCGGTTTTATTTTGACATGAAATGTCCAAATTTAAATGATATGAATTTAGTTTAGTATGGATAGAAGTGTATTTAATTTTGAAAATAAAATAAGTGGTATGAATTTTATTTGGTATGGGTATGAAACTCGAATTTTAGATAAATCGCTTTGTATTGACACGTGTACATGTTCGGTTTTATACTTGAAAACTACCATAAACTCTATTTTTACTCTTTCTTATTTAATTATTATATTAATTATTGTAATAAATATGTATTCTTTTTATTTTTAAATCTTTATAATTTTTTTAATTTTATTTTATTTTTTTATGTTATATCTCAAAATAACCGTATTTTAAAGATCTTCGATTTGACATCCATATTGCATATATAAAATAAAAAATAATTACAACTATCATTACAAACAAAAATATATTTATTAAAAAAATAATTTCAACAATATGAATACAACATAAATTATTTTATAACAAAAAAATAATAATCTAATTCAGTAATACACCATAAAATAATTATTTTAATGCGTTTTATCATAGATTTTAACTAAAATAAGAAAATTAAGTGCAAAATATTGACCCCATTTTGATTTGTTTTTTCCTTTGTTAGTTATTCATAATTTTTATGTACTCATTATACAATAATTTAACAATATAAGAATAAATTATTTTAGTTTTTCTATTGTACAAATATTAGTATATTTATGTACCCATGTCGTACGCATTTATCGTATTAGTTGATATATATTTCTTTTGAAAATTACATAGATCTTTTTTTTTTTCCAAAACGACAGAACGATTATCATAAACTCAAAG